TAAATTTTGGTTGAAAAATTGACTTTCTGGCAACACCTTTTGGAACCAACTTTTCAAGCCTATTGAGAGCGAAAAAGAATAATTATTTTGATAATTTATTGTAAGCTTACATAACCTACCTTGACCCAAATTGTGGATGGGTATAAATAAAAAGAAATATGCTGTGCTATTTTTATACTTCTAGGAATTGAGGTGTATGGGTGGGGGGGGGTTGAGCAAAACATTTTTGCCCGAGGAGCCCCATCGTCTGATCAATTTTTGACGCGCCCCTGGGTGGAGGAAAAGGAAGTCGAATGTCCACAATTTTTGTCTTTTGATTTCCCCTCGTGCTTGTTGTGTTTACACGTTTATTTTTATTTATTTGTTTTTTGCTTTGAAACTTCCCAGCGAGCGTGCATGTGACATCGAGACGAAATGACAAGCCAGTGACAAGCCAGTGCGTTCCTATGTCAACAAGCGTGGCTGGCCGCTGTGGTTATTAATTAGGCGCTGTGCGGGGCAGAAGACATCCTTGTATCGACGGCTTTGATTGGCTCGTGTAATACAAGGCTCTACGCGCTTTGTCAGCGGATTCTTCATGCAAGGGGAAGCTACTCTACGATACAGCGTTACAGATTAGATCCCCTAAAAACTGTGGCACTACAGAGTGTTGTGACGCTTTGATGCGTTTGTTTGTTTGTTTGTTTGGATGTAACATGCGTCAATGACAGGTAAGTCAGATTAATTTTTAGTTTAGTGGAGATGAGCTAGGGAATAACATACACATACATACATACATACGCAAACACAAACACGCTGACAACTAATCCACACACAAACATAACTACACAGAGACAGGCGAACAACTTACACACACACACACGCACACACACACACACAGTATAAAAAATATATAACTTCTATGTGTGCTCTATTGGGTTAAGTTTTAGTTGCTGTTTGCTAAGTTGACCAAATTGTTAGCAGCCCACCCACCCACCCCCATTTCCACTACCCCCCCCCCTCTCTCTCTCTCAATATAAATAGCGTGATAAATATTCCTTTAAATTCTCCATCAAAAATGGATGCCGTCTCGTCTACAAGACGTGTGTGCGTGTGTGTGTGTGTCTCACTCTTTCACTGTCTGCTATGTGTGTGTGTGTGTGTGTGTCTGTCTGTCTGTCTGTCTACTTTGTGTGTGTGTGTGAGTGCGCGCTTATGAGAGAGACTAATGTACAATAAAACGTTCCACATAAATCTCCCACAATTCCACTTTCTCTCTACTTTTTGGGTACGTAATTTCCGTAAGGATTTAGTGCGCATCTCGTTAAAAGAACAGCTGCGTTGGGGGGGGGGGGGGGGGGGGTATTAGGATGGTCATTATAACCCTACCCCACCTCCCCAAACATAAATCTCCCACTCCAATGTTTATGACATAAAACACTGTTACTTCATTAGACTCATTTCAGAATAAATAAATAAATAAATAAATAAATATATATATATATATATATATGTGTGTGTGTGTGTGTGTGTGTGTGTGTGTGTGTGTGTGTGTGTTTGTGTGTGCGTGCGCGTGTGTTTTTTAAGGTGAGTCTCTCCCTCGCCCCCCCCCCCTACCCCCCCCCCCTCGCTCCCCATGACGGTAAAAAAAAATTTACAGTAAAGTTTTAAGACATTTTAGGACAGTTTTTAGACACTAATAGGACAATTTTTTTTTTAGGTTTAGTAAAGTTTAAGGCCATTGTTTGGACATGTTGATAATGTCCTCTTGTTGAAGAGAGTGTGTCGAGGAAGCAACTAATGTGGGAGTTATTTGTCTCGGGACAGAGAGACTGACGTCACGGGTACACCGGAAGTGACGTGTCACCCGCTGCCTAAAAAAAAAAAAAACATTTTTAAAATAATTTTATTCTAGAACATTCCTGTCCCGGCCATTTTTTTTAACAAGGGGCTAACCTTGAGATGAATTTAAATCGATGGCTTACCCCAGGGGATGCGGGGGAGGGCGAGGGGGCTCAAGATTTGCTGGCTAGAATAATATGTTTCAATGTGTTTAAAAAAATGCACTTGGTACTACCAGTGTTTCTTCCAGACTTTTTTTCTTCGGGGGGGGGGCACTTGAAATTTTCGGGGGGTGGGCGGTCTAAAATTTTCGGGGGAGCGGACACTGTTAAAAGTATTTATTTTCTATATAAATTCCATTTCTTTGGGGGGGGGGGCGGTAGATTTTCTTCGAGGAGGTGCCTGAAAGAAACTCTGGTTTCTACCAACGACCTCATTCAGCTGGGTGTCAATCGGTGCCGTAGCTGTGGATCTCTTTCTCTCTCACGCTCGTACGCGCGCACACACACACACACACACGAGCGCATACACTTTTTTCTATTTACATTTAAATGTCAACAACTACCCATCCCATTTAATTAGGCTTAATTAGTTAAAACATTTTTTGTAAGTAAATGTGTTAGGTCAGGCGTATAAGGAGTCATCCGGTGCAGAGCGTCATTGTGACGCTGACGCTCGTTGTAATTTTGTTTAAAGGATTAAATGATTGAATGGAACAGCGTGGCCTAGCTGTAGACCGCTAGACTACTAGCCTGAAAGTCTCGAGTTTGAATCCTGGTTCAAGTCCGTAGAACGTCCCTGAGTCCCACCTCTGAAGGCTACCTAACTCACGATAGGGAAAGTAAAGACGGCTGGAAACAGTGCTGACCACACTATCTCTTCATACGCCGATGTCACAGAAAGGGAACTTTAATTAAATTATTGCAACAAACTCCCATGTTGTTTCAGGTGTATGTAAATCATCATATTTTATCAGGGCAAGACAAAGACGTTATGTCTTGTGTTAGTACAAGGTTTAGGGCAGTGACTATAACTAAACCAATGGCTCGACACTGCGAACTAATGACAACAAATGTCCGAACGACATTTGCCCGAATGTGACAAATGTCTGAAGGCTGTTTTCCTGAAAATTATTATTTTAATAATCAAGTAGAACTTTTAAATACATTTGAATTTAATATTTTAATTATTACTTAATAATGTAATTGTATTTTAATTATATCCCTACTGAAATGGTAGTTCACAGGCTACAAAAATAGAATAAAATTCAATTTTTCAGTTAATTTTTAAATACTCTTTATGTTAATTTTTAGCGCAGTATCCATTCTGGAGAATTGCGTTTATTAACCCGTCATTTCTGGATGTATGAATGGATGTGTATCCGCAGCTTTAAGTCGTATCTCCTCCTCAACGAAGCAATATCGATGACTAGTTTTTCTTTCAGCACAAAAACAGGAAAAAAAAATTATTTTCAAATGATGTGCACATAAGATTTCTTCAATAATATATTTACAGGCAACCTTTCATTCGGATAAACTTTCATTCGGACAGGTTTACGTGCCGTGTAATGTAAAATGTAATTGACTGATTAGATTCTTGTAATGTATATTGTGATTGACTTTTTATTCCCCAGAACCGATGTCACAAAATGTCAAGGAATGACCTCGCTAAAATGTCCAGTTATGACCTGACCAAAATGTCCAGCTATGACGTCACGAAAATGTCCAGCTTCGCCTCCTCGTCACCACTGGTGTCCCACGCCGACAAACACGAGACTGCGCACAGCGGTGTGAGGGAGACAACCATCGAAGTTATCGCCCCTGCCCACCACAGGGGCGATAACTACAGCGCCGAGGACGCACTGTCGCATTATTACCTTGGCAACAGCTCTTGTCGCGGGGGTTGCGTCCCCTCCATTAGCAACCAAACGTACGGGACCAACTGGTCAGATCTGGTCATGTCACCTAGCTCAAACTCCACCGAGTATTACTACGCCGCTAAGATCGTATGGCAGGCGAGTGGTTCTTTTTTTTTTAATTAATTGATACATTTCTTTAACAATTAGAACCCGATTACCAAAAAAGCTTTAGGACAGTTTTTTTGGGTTTATTTTTATTTACTTTTTTTTTTGGGGGGGGGGGGGGGGGATGGGGTGTGGTGGGGGGGGGGGGGGGCAAATGCGCCTTACTTAGTTGTACCTTCTGAAATAAACATGATATTTTAGGTGTCAGTAGAAGCTAACCCTAACACAAATGTGTTAACTCTAAAACGTGATTTGACATGAGGGGGTCATCCATAAATGACGTCACGCTTTTTTGGACGATTTTTACCTCCTCCCCTCCATCACACATTTTAACAAAAGGCCAGACCTAAACCCCTCCTAAAATGACGTCACACCTCAGCCTACAATCCCCCCCCCCTTCAAAGTTGCAGTTAATTTTTTCTTATAAACTCGATATTTTTCCACATTTTTGTCTGAATTCTGTCAACATAGAGTATTTTAATCAATTTCTATTACAATTTATTAAAACAGTTTTCTTAAACGCGAAATAACGGCTAAAATACGTTTTCTAACAGGTTTTTTTTTTGTAAGGCTAAAGTGTGACGTCACACAATCTCGACACCCCCCCCCCACCCTTCATCACACACCATCACAAAATTACGGACCCCCCCTCCCCCTTTCGAGTGTGACTCATTTATGGACGACCCCCTAACCCTAACTTATGTTTGGGGAAGGGTTCGGACTAAAGTGAGAATGTGAGGATAAATGACTGGGAAAGTGGGGGGGGGGGGGAGCGTAAGTGTGATGTCACACTTGGTACACATGTCACAGAGTAATGTTTTAAAACTAAACTTTAACTGTTATCTTTGCCTTTTGAAAGAAATATTTTGTAAACTGTATTAAAGATAGATGGGTTGACCTTATGACGTAGCATTCAGCGGGTTTATTTTAGAATGAAGACAATGTCTAAAAAAAAACTTGCTGAGATGCAATTTTGGGGAGAGGTGAGGGTTGCTGAAGTGTGATGTCATTGGGGAGGGGGGGGTAATGCTCGACGATGTGTGAAGATATGGAGAAGGAGGGTAGATCTAAATATTGCAGAAAATAACTTGACGTAGTTTATGGACGTTGCCTTTACAAATAAACTTTTTTTAAACAATGCAGTGGCCCTCTAAGGATGCCTAAAGCTGATGTAGGTTTTCTAGTTTGTGTGTTGGTCAGTCCGATACTGTAAACGTGAAATGGTAGATAAATGATTGTATTAACTAGTTTGTAGTTTGCCGCTAGTTTTTAGTATGATATAAACTAGTGATACGTTGTCCTCATGTTTAAATTGAACCGCGACATTGTTCCTGTTTGAATTAAATGTTCCCTTATGTTCCCTGTGGCGTTGTTCCTGTTGAAATTAATTGTTCTCTTGTGTTCCCTGTGGCGTTGTTCCTGATTGAATTAATTGTTCCCTTATGTTCCATGTGACGTTGTTCCTGCGTTGTTCCTGTTTGAATTAATTGTTCCCTTATGTTCCCTGTGACGTTGTTCCTGTGTTGTTCCTGTTTGAATTAATTGTTTCCTTATGTTCCCTGTGACGTTGTTCCTGTGTTGTTCCTGTTTGATATAATTGTTCCCTTATGTTCCCGCAGGTCTGCCCTGTGGCTCTGTTCCTGTTCGGCACGATCGGGAACCTGCTGATCCTGCTGACCTTACGTAACCTGCGTCTAGGGCGCAGCTCCATGCACCTGTACCTGCGGGCTCTGGCCATCTCGGACCTGCTGGTGCTCTACACGGGGCTCCTGCGCCAGTGGCTCGCCTGGACCTTCGACGTGGACCTGCGGGACCAGCACGTCATCCTGTGCAAGCTGCACACCTGGCTGCTGCACGTCACGCTCTACACGTCATCCTGGCTGCTGGTCGTCATGACCTTGGAGCGCTCGTGCTCCGCCTGCTTCCCCCACCGCGTCAGCTCCTTCTGCACCAAGCGCCGCGCGTGTCTCGTCATCCTGGTCATCGTGGCCTCCCAGCTGGCCATCCAGAGCCACTTCCTGATTGGTCTCTCTCTCGTCCCCAACCCCAGCAACGTCACGGTCTGTGCCGCCTCCTCCACGCAGTATGACTTCGTCGTGAACACAATTTTACCCATCGCCGATGTCGTTTTGCTGTCTCTGCTTCCATTCTTGTTTGTTATAGTCGGGAATGTCGTCATCGTCTGGCGCGCCTTCCTGTCCTTGAAAACGGCAGCAGAACTGAGCTTAACTTTCAGTAAAAATGTTCTCCAGCGTAAGCGTAGGACCTCGTCTATGACGATTATTTTAATAGGACTCAGCGCTATTTTTTTGCTGACGACGTCACCGTCTTGTGTGTACAATCTCTGGGAGCTGGGGGGCGGGGATGACTCGTCGGTGCACGGGGCGGCCAGGGCGGAGCTGGCGTGGGCGCTGGTCAATATCCTGATGTACTGCAACAACACCTTCAACTTCTACCTCTACTGCCTCAGCGGCCGAAAGTTCCGGAACGAGATGAGGCGCCAGTTCTCCCGCCCCCACACAGATTCTTTATCCAACGCCCCCTCGGGGGTGTCGGTACAGATGCAACGTCTGGCCCACAGTGACGTCTACAACAGCAGTTACTCGCCCCTGACTTACCAGACGTCCCTCATCGCTAGACAAAGCAACGCGTACTTGTGATGCTTAAATCAGGCTTTGTATTTGTGACTCTAAAGTCATCTCATTAGGTCAGGCTTTGTACTTGTAATTCCAAAGTCATCTCATTAGGTCAGGCTTTGTATTTATGATTCTGAAGTCATCTAATTAATTCCGGCTTTATAACTGTGATTGGATGCTGTTGATTGGCATAGATCAACACCCTAATTAGCTATGCATAATCGATCTTAAAATTGTATTTTTTGACACCGAAATACCAAAATTATTTCTGGATGAAACCAATCAAAGCTAGCATCAAAATGTATATTATGTTCATTTAAAAACGGAACCTTTAATGTCTTGGCAAAACTATGTGGATGGAACTGTGGGATTTCCTTTCTTGTAGGCCGACAAGTAAACTTGACCTTGATCTAGTGATCTGGCTCATTCATGCTAGTCTCGTGACAAAAAGAAAACATGTTTTATGAATGAATGATGTGTTATTTATATGATAAGACTAGACTTGCATGTCAGTCTTGAAAAAAGGGACTCATGTCAGTCAAATGACAGTGACATGTCAGTCATGTGACATGTCAGTCATGTGACATGACAGTCATTAGACATGTCAGTCATTTGACAAGCTCGTCTACGCCCGTCACTGACAAGGCAGTCCACGTCCAAGTAGTTCAATGCTAAGCGGATATTTTGTTCGAACCTCGAAATTCGAGCGGAAGTATTCAACGTCTGCACTTTTTTTTCTGTGCCGTCCTTTCTGAATTCAAACTTTACACAGCCAATTTTGACGTCACGGTGGTATCATTTGTGTATTTAGTGGTGGTGTCACTACTAGTGGTGTTAATGGTACTCGTGACATGTATGATGTAATTTATGTCACCAGGACAACTGCTATTGACAATGACATCTACTGTGTACGAGTGTACATCACCTCGATTAAATTAATGACACTGCAGGACAATTACATCCGTTTTAATTAAGTAGTAAAAAGTAGGGACTGCATAGTCTAGCGGTAGAGCGCTAGACTCTCGACAGTCTTGAGTTCGAATCTGCGCTCAAGTAAATAGAACGTCCCTGAGTCCACCCAGCTCTGATGGCTAGCCAACTCACGTTAGTTAAGTACAGGCGGCTGGGCGTAATTCTGACCCCACTTTCCCTTCACATGTCGAGTAGACCTCGACTGAATGGGTCTCGTAAATTTCATTGCATGCTTTCATCTAGAACATTCCATTTTTGTACGGGGTTTCGCTGTGATGCATTGTCCAAACCAGCCCATATGTAGCACACAACCTAGGCTGATGAAGACATTAGTTCGAATCCTTTTATTCCAGTTGGGTCAGCTTTTAAAATATTTTGGGAATGGGAGGGGGCAGGTGGGAGGGTGTCCACCAAACCATCATGCTAACCACTAACACGGTGTGTCAGGTTCAGGGGGAGTTGAGCTTAAGAATCAACAGCCAGCCTTATGAGTTGCTCACATATTGAACTAACACTTATTGTGAAAAAAAAAGTATGTATTCATTTGTTAATTAATGTTTAATGAAGAAAGAAATGTTACCAATGCTTCACTTGTTGATCAAGGTGTGTTTATATGTGGTATGTTCTTGTGACGTACATAATAGTACATATACAACCTCAGAGTTTCTTCCAGGCATCTCTTCGGGGGGGGGGGGGGGGGAGGGGGGCTAAGAGCGTCCACCGCCCCGCCCCTCCCCCGAACGAAATAGAATTCAAATAGAAAATATATACTTTTATCAGTGTCCGCCCCCCCCATCCCGACCCCGGAAAATTTTGTCCGCCCCCCCCCCCCTCCCCCGATAAGTTCAAGTGCCCTACCTCTCCTCCGGGAAAAAAAGTTTGAAAGAAACACTGTACATACTGCAGACCAACGCTACATCCTCCACCTTTCTACAGCTACCTAGCGTGGTCTAGTGGTAGATCGCGCGCTTGCGAACCCGAAAGTCTAGAGTTCGAAACCCGATCTCGATACTGTTGGGGAGAGAGATGCTCGATTCTTTGTCCTGTTCCAGTTTGCCTAGTTACTGGGCGTAAGTTTGATGAGGTAATGACCTCCACCTATCTACAACTACCGACCGACACCCTCCCCAGGCTAATTACAGCTACCGTATAAAACCCTGTCCATATCCCTAGGGTTGGGGTTCATGCTATGGATACATACACATAGCACGTACCCCAACATAATAGATACATATCACATACACATAGCACGTACCCCAACATAATAGATACATATCACATACACATAGCACGTACCCCCTAGTCACGTAAATGCATGTATGTTATAATATCTATCCTATGTAAAATATTTTATATCATTCGAATGTAATCGAGTATGTATCGTATAGAAAACGGAATCACATCCACCACCGCCCCCCCCCCCCCCCCCCCCTCTCCCAGACAAAATAGAAAAAGTGAATGTACTCTAACTAGTGTTCTCCACGCGCTCCCCCTCCCACCGGAGAAAAAAATGTCTGAAAGAAACTGTTCATAGCCCTGAACATTCGCAGCAGGGAGCGTTCTAATGATGTATCATGTTATCTTGAAAACAGTGTCATTCATTATCCGTGCTCACATCAAAAACAATAGTTGGAACATTTTATCCAGTAACCAACAAGGTTTTATTTAAAGAACGCACGTCACGTGATTTTTTTTATTTTTTTAACACGCTGTTGGACGTTTGACAAACGAAAAAATAAAACCGGATTTTTATTTTTGGGAATAAAATTAAGCCTAAAAGTCAGGTTTTCTGGTTATGTTCAGATATATAGGAAGAAGATTCGTAATTTTGAACATGGAGATACATTCAGAAGTTAGACAGTGTCTCATGAACAAGCCACCAAAATATTTTAAACGAGCCGACCCGCGGCGTATCATATGCCGCTATTTAGTTGTTTTATTTTCTACTTTTCAGTAATTCATAATTTGTGAATTCGACAGTACCAATGCTGCCACTGAAAATATTTACCTTTAAACACTATCAGTAGGTCGTTAAGAATGATAACCCCCCCCCCCCCCTCCTTTCCCCCAACCCCTACCCTACACCCCCCTCCCATGAAAGCAGCCTCTTCTTAGTTACCTCCCCTAAGTTTAAAATCGTTTCAAACTAAATTATCTGCCCCTAATAGCCGTCACTAAACCCGACTCTACGATTGTAAACATTTAGCATGAACCACAGCTCACCAGACCATGTGGGGAGGGTGTGGTAGCGATATGCCTAGAGAGGAAGAGAGGGGGCTGCTAGGCCCGCGTACAGCTTGGTGTTTTCTATGGTATCCACTAAGAGAATTATATATATAGAAGATAGAAAGCCCGTATTTACTTCACTTGCCAGATTTTTTAAACAATAGATGTAAAAAAATTAATAAAGCGTGTAGATATTTAAAATTTTATTGCAACAGTATATTTATAAAATATAATCCTGCATTGTGACAAATTATAAAAATCCCAACTTAAACCACAAAATTAATAAACATAATTATCTTACAGCGTCATGGACATGATTAAAATAAAATTATAATCAGTTCAGAGGTCACACAATTCTAAGGATGAGTAATTGCAGGGGAGATAACAATCAAGAAAAATAAGCAGATGCAGATAATGATAATATTGTGACTTCTAATTTTTGTTAACAATTTAAATTTCACATCATGTAAAGTTAAGTGTACATTATTTTGTAATTGTGCAATTTTAGATTGTGTGATAATGTCTAGTGAAGTTGAGCATTATAATACCTGGGTACCATTCTAAGAAAAATTATGGGAAATAATTTGTCATTGGGTTAATCTTACATAAGCTAGCTATGGTAACATGCAAAATCTGATCTGGAAACAAATGGGACAAATAAAAAGTTGGTTTATGGAATGTTGATATTCATAGTCGTGTGGACAAGGTCAAGTCAAGTCTTGAACTTTAACATTCACAGGTTATTAGGGTTAAGGTCGTGTAGACAAGGTCATGTCAAGTCATAAAATGTTAACATTGCCAGGTTACATCCTAAAGGGTTAATGCTATCATGTCCATGGCAGACCAGACAATGAAGGGTTAATTTTGATTTTGTCAAATTTGTCCTTAAACTTTTTTCAACTTTAAAATAATATTAAAGAAATAATTTTCAAAGTCCATTAAAAAAAAAACCTATAACTATAACAAATAATTTTAAACTATTTAGATTAAAATAATTTAACAAAGCATCATAATTTGAGAAATATTGAACCAATAAAAATTGTACTTGTTAGAAAATTTTAAATAAAAGAATGATATTACACAAAACAGGATAAACCCTTGACCAATTAAAAAAAATTAATTTCAAAACTGGTCTCAGAGGTGTGGTGACCCGTTCTGGCACCTGGGGCAGACTATCAATGTTGACCCCTTCTTTCTATTTCTATATATTAAGTTATTCCTGTTTGTGAAAAAAGAGCCCTCCACCATATTGGAAAGGTTTGTGGTGTACTTAACAGTTTCTATTTGGCACAGAAAAAGAGTTAAGTCTGTGTGTAAGGCGTTGTAGTTGTTAATTTTTGTAACTTTGATCGTGTATAATTTAATACTTAGCTTAAAATGAGCTTTATTAATAATTATTTTTACTAATTTTTACCCCCTTAGGGTCTGCCCCCAGAGCAGCTGCCCCACCCACCATCCCCTAGTTACGCCATTGCTGTTACGCTGACATTTCAAAATATTGGATGAAAAAAATATTTTGACCTTCATTGAAAATCTAACTCCATATCATCCTTTATAACTACATGATGTTAGGATCTTTCATTTTTAGCTTCATATTTACATCCACATTATAATCTCTTACACTATCTTACTGTGCATGATTGTTGTCTCATATTTCAGATACTCATTAATAGGTTAAATTATAACATTGCTAAATACAAGAAAGAGAAATGCGTTACTAAAACACAGTTATAATATTGCTATCAGAAATGGGTTACTGAAAACATACATAGATAGTTCCAATGCTGACATTTAGATATCTTACAGTAACATATAGCACATACAAACAGCAAATACTGAAAAAAATGGGTACTCATATGTGACATAAAGTGTGGATTTCTTGGAAGACCAATGGACATACAAACAAAGGTTAACAAGCGTGATTGGTCCTTTGTCACACGACTCAATGATAATATTTCAATCAAACATGTCACAAATATAATTAACTATTTTAACAACAGTTTCGTCAAAATTATATTCTGAGATAAATATTTAGAGTAACATCATATGGCAAAATGCTGTAAGCACGAGTTTTAAAAATACAGTGACACCAAACTTACAGTATACAGACAGTAGTAGAGAATGATGCCAAGGCCTCGTAAAGTATTAAGAAAAATAAATGTTAAGATCAAATGCTTTCGCCAGAATATTAAGCAAACTAGTGGAAGAATGAAGATGGAACTGTCAAATTTTAGTACTCATTTGTCCCAATTGTTATCTAAATTTATTGAATTCCTAGACTGTAAAAATCTTTGATATGTTCCTACATTCCATAAATTTAATGTCTGAAAAATGTTGTCTAGTACATACATGATGAGTGCTATTTCACAAAGAGTTAACCTACACATACTTTGCACTATATTAACTATCACCGTACTGAAACATTACATCCATCTTTTCCAATTAAAAAAAATGACTCATACATTAATGTTGTGGTTCAAGTTTCTAACAGACCCAGCTGTAAATAGCACCCAGCTGCAGACAGTATCCAGCTGCAGACAGCACCCAGCTGCAGATAGTACCCAGCTGCATACAGTACCCAGCTGCAGACAGCACCCAGCTGCAGATAGTACCCAGCTGCATACAGTACCCAGCTGCAGACAGTATCCAGCTGCATACAGTATCCAGCTTCTAACAGCTTCAAGTTTCTAACAGACCCAGCTGTAAATAGCACGCAGCTGCAGTCAGTACCCAGCTGCAGACAGCACCCAGCTGCAGACAGCACCCAGCTGCAGACAGCTGGGCAGGGAACTTGTATCACAGAAGGCACTCAACGAAACACTGCTCTGGCTCTTTTAACTTATCCAGATCTCATTCAACATCCCAAACCACTAAAAGATTTTAACATGTTTTCTCAATAGATTGCTAGCATGTTAACAAATAAAAATCCTGAGTGCCTGTGTAAGCCTTGTCTAAGCTAATCAAACTTTGATCACAACCTTATACCTTATACATTATACAGGGAGAACATTGACAATATTCTTAGGTCACCAGCATATGACTGGCTAAACCATTAAGCCCCCCCCCCCCCACACCATCAGACACCCCACCATCCTACTCCTTAGACTCCCCACCGCCAGACACCCCCTGCTCCTATGCAGGCCACCAGCCTTTAGCCTGAGACAGGTGGACAGCGTCCCTCTCCGCTGGACTAAACTGTAAGACGGTCATCACAGCCTTGAGCATCTGTGTCTTACACTGACCATCCGTGGAGGTCAGGAACTTGACCATGACATTCTTGAGGTACTCCACGTTGGCCCCCTCACGGTTGGCATGCCTGTGTACCTCCAGCAGCTGCTCATTGAGTGCACTGATCTCATCGCGCAGCTTCTCTTCCTTCTGGCTCACAGACACCTGCAGGTCACGCAGCGCAGTCTCCAGCGACCTCTTCTGCTTGCGAAGTCCGTTTAACTCGACCTCCATCCTCCCTTTTTCTTGAGCAAAGTGAATAAAAGCAGCCTCGTTTTGGAAATTTTTGGACATGTCTAAAAGTCTGCTAACTGCTTCCTGTTCCTCGGATATGTCCCCACTGGCTCGCTGGGCCGTGCTGTCGTTGAGTTGGCCCCACTGTCTGAGACTGTCTGGCTCAAAGCTCTGGCCTGACAACGATCTCAGGCGCTGAATTTCTGCGTCTTTCTCAGCAAGTAGCACCACAGTTCTTTCCCTTTGTTTCTTGACCTCCACCTCTAGCTCGCCAATCTGCTTCTGATGACCGGCCTTGACCTGGGACACGTCTGCTCTGTGTTTTTCTTCCTGGGTCAGGATGGCCTTGCTGAGGTTATCGACCTTGGCCTGCTGCTCCGCTAGCTCCTCCTGGTGGTGGAAGTTACTCATGCGCAGCTTATCCCTCAGTTCTGCTACTTGCTCCTTCAATAGCTCACACTCTTTTGATGGCCCATTTTCCTGAAACAAAGACATTTCATTTCTTTAAGATATTCAGTTAAAGAATATGTACATTCTTTTTTTATTCTGTAACTTAATAAGGGATGCTTTCTATATAGTTGCATGGTTTCAAGTAGGTTATCAAACACAAATCATCTAACATTACCTGTTTGTAAGTAAAGATTGATACATGTTTAGGTAGAATGCCTTAATCAGTTTGCTAAAATTACCTTATTTTTGTTTTTCAACACTGACTGCGCCCGTAGCTTGTACCGTTAAAATTACCTTATTTTTGTTTTTCAACACTGACTGCGCCCGTAACTTGTACCGCTCAAATTACCTTATTTTTGTTTTTCAACACTGACTGCGCCCGTAGCTTGTACCGCTCAAATTCCTCTTTCACCTGCTCAAGCTCCTCTTTGTATTTCTTACACACCTCAGATTCCTCGTCAGCCTTGTTCAAATCTTCCACAAAGATGTCTGAAACAAAAAATTCTTAAATAACATTCTCAAACAAAAAATTCTAGAATAAATTCTGAAACAACAAATTCTTAAATAACTAATTCTTCAATAATGAAGTCTTAAACAACGAATTCTTAAATTTAAAATTTTGAATTAACAAATTTTAAAACAAAAAAATTCTAAAACAACAAATTATGAAATAACATTCTCAAACAAAAAATACTAGAATAAATTCCGAAACAATAAATTCTGAAATAAATTCTAAAATTTTAAAAATTTTAAATAAATTCTGAAATGATAAAGTTTTTGTCACATCATTAGCATATGGACAATGATTTCAACCCAAAATATGAACATCTACAAGAGAAAAGCTACAGTTGATATTCCCTAGAATTATTTATATGTAAAAGCTTCAGCAATATTCAACAAAGTTTTAACATTCTGTACAGTTGTTCATGCACTCTCAAACTTGGAGCACACACATTTGGTTGTGTCTGTTCCACCAGAACATTATACAATATTTTTAATTTCCTTTTCTTAAGACAGATTTCAATAACAAACTACAAGTCTCACTCAACTAACAACATTCAATCTTTGAATAACAAGAGAAGTTTACAGTTTTAACACCAAGTGACCACAGTGACTATAAGACAAATTTGGCACCTACTGGACAGTTTGATGGATTTTTCTGACTTCTCCGAGACAGTTTTCAGAACAGATCTCAGGTGCATGATTTTCTCCAGAACTTTCTCGACCTCCATGTTGTTCTCTTCATCTTGTTTCTCTGGGGTCAGGCTGGCAGCGCGGGCCAGGGCCGTGTTCTCCATGTCCAGCTGTGTGACCCTCTCCTTCAGTTTACTGAAACACAGAAACTTTCTTTACTGCTGGCTTTCATTGCTTGCTTTTTAAACTAGCCCTACTTTTTCTTAACTTGAATCATTGTTTAGTTTTGGAAATATGGTAATTTTTATTGCTAACTTTGAGCAGAATTTTATAAAATAATATTAAATAATATATTTCAAGCTATTTATAAACAGCCTGTTTAATATCCTAAAGATGTTATTTCACTACTGGATTCTTAATTCCTGATAACTTACTATCTATATATATAATTCTCTTCTGGGAGACGCTAGAAAATAAGCTGTAAATGCGCTCCCTACCATCCCCACCCCTACATGGTCTTAGTGAGCTGTGGTTCACGCTATATTTACCTTGGTGGAGTCGGGTTTAATGACGGCTATTAGGGGCAGATAATTTAGTTTGAAACGATTTTAAACGTTGGGGGGGGGGGGGGGGGGGGGAAGGAAGGGGGGGGGGGGAATATGGTCCTTAACGAGCTACTTATAGTGTTTTAAAAAAATATTTTCAGTGTCAGCATTGGTACTGTCGAATTCACAAATTATGAATTACTGAAAAGTAGAAAAAACAACAACTAAATAGCGGCGTATGTTATGCCGCGGGCCGGCTCGTATTAAATAATATACTTCAAGTTATTTCTAAACAGCCTGTTTAATGCCCTAAAGATGTTATTTCACTATTGGATACATAATTCTTGATAACGTACTAGACTATTTGAATATTCATGTTCCTTTAAATTTCACCAAAACGTATTTATTGCCATTACTTCAAAGGTTATCAGCTAACCTCCCCTGATATTTGAGTGTATACAAAGCATTGCCATGGCTACCTGATGGCCTGCTGGTCCTGGAACCTGAGCCTCTCGTAGTTGCCCACCACCTGGGACAGCTCAGACAGCTTGGCCTCCAGACCTGAGACTCTCTCCTCACTCTGTTTGGACTGGGTCTGCAGTCTGCTCTCAGCCTCGCAGGCTTTCTGCTGCTCCTTCTCCACTTGTTTCTGGTAGTCAGCCTGGGGTGGTTAGGGTTAATTGGGATAGTTTTAATAAACAGGGTGATAGCTTTAACAAAAAAAAAACAGGGAGATAATTTTCATTATAAAAAAGGGAAATAATTTTAATAAACAAATAGGGAAGTAACTTTAAACAAAGCAAACAGTCAGATAATTTTCACAAAACAAACAAGTATATGTCTTTAAAGAGAGCAAAAAGGGAGATAACTTTCACAAAACATATGGAGATAACTAACTAAACAAGATCCTAATATTTTATGGTACTTGGGGATGATCCAAACCCATGGTTTCCATCAGTCTATTGCAGTGGTTCTTAACCTTGGTTCACCTGATTCCCATGGGTTCGATGAGTAAGTCTCAGGGGTTCGGCAAAGGTCTAGACACACCCGTCTAATATGATTAACAATTTTGTCAGTGCAGTCGATAGAACTATTAAGGAAGTCAGTGAATGCGCATATAAAACTGATGGGGGTTCGTTACATCCATAAAAGATTAAGGTTATAGGGCTGTGGCATAAGTAAGTAATGGGGTTATAACTAGGGTTGTTTTAACTTTAGATTTAGAGTACTATTATCAGTGATACCAGCCACAGAATCTGCAGGTATGGCTGACTGACAAATATCAGTAGTGTAAACATGAACAAAAAAGCAAACTGAGATGTAATAAAAGATTATCACCAGTTTTCTATACCTTTTTTTAAATAAAATTTTAGTTATGCTACATTTAAATTCTTGCGTTCAACCATATTCATAGGTGAAGCAACACAAACAATTAACAAAACCAGCGAATGTAAACAAAATTTAAACCATGTAAACAATTCTATCAATACCTTCATGCTGGCCATGTCTTTCTGTAACTCTAGAACAAAAAACCAGCAAATGTAAAAAAAAATGTAAGCCGTTTAAACAATTCTATCAATACCTTCATGCTGGCCATGTCCTTCTGTAACTCTAGAACAAATGGAGACGGCTGATTGGCCTTGACCTCAGCAGACTTGAGCCTGTCCCGTACAAGTTTCAGCTCATTCTGCAGCTGCTGGATCTGGCGCTCATAGACTTCGGACACAAGTGGCGCACTCTGAGACTTGTGTTTGCTTTCATGGAGAGCATGCAGAGCTTCTTCCAGCTAGAGGAATGGGAAGCTGGATTATGTTTTGTTCAAAGGGAAATTTCACTCACATTCTTGGACTGGTATTATTTTTTTTTGACAGGTAGCAATCAAAAGAAAACTTGGATTGCTAATAATGAAGCAGAACTGTATAATGAATTATCAACTAGATTCAGGGATTCTCAAATATTAAGTCAATGACTGTTTAATGTGAACAAGAGACACCTCAGCTTAGCTCTGATCCTTACTTCTGGTCACCAAGCCTTGATAGATACCTAATCTAGGGGAATTAGAGGTGGATTAGAGGCAGAAGGATTTACCTGAGTTTCAATGGTGGATTAGATTTACCTGAGTTTCAATGGTGGATTAGATTAACCTGAGTTTCAATGGTGGATTAGATTTACCTGAGTTTCAATGGTGGATTAGGTTTACCTGAGTTTCAATGGTGGATTAGGTTTACCTGAGTTTCAATGGTGGATTAGGTTTACCTGAGTTTCAATGGTGGATTAGGTTTACCTGAGTTTCAATGGTGGATTAGGTTTACCTGAGTTTCAATGGTGGATTATATTTACCTGAGTTTCAATGGTGGATTAGATTTACCTGAGTTTCAAATGGTGGATTAGGTTTACCTGAGTTTCAATGGTGGGTTAGATTTACCTGAGTTTCAATGGTGGATTAGATTTACCTGAGTTTCAAATGGTGGATTAGATTTACCTGAGTTTCAATGGTGGGTTAGATTTACCTGAGTTTCAATGGTGGATTAGGTTTAACTGAGTTTCAAAGGTGGGTTAAATTTACCTGAGTTTCAATGGTGGATTAGATTTACCTGAGTTTCAATGGTGGATTAGGTTTACCTGAGTTTCAATGGTGGATTAAATTTACCTGAGTTTCAATGGTGGATTAGGTTTACCTGAGTTTCAATGGTGGATTAGGTTTACCTGAGTTTCAATGGTGGATTAGGTTTACCCGAGTTTCAATGGTGGATTAGGTTTACCTGAGTTTCAATGGTGGATTATATTTACCTGAGTTTCAATGGTGGATTAGATTTACCTGAGTTTCAAATGGTGGATTAGGTTTACCTGAGTTTCAATGGTGGGTTAGATTTACCTGAGTTTCAATGGTGGATTAGATTTACCTGAGTTTCAAATGGTGGATTAGATTTACCTGAGTTTCAATGGTGGGTTAGATTTACCTGAGTTTCAATGGTGGATTAGGTTTAACTGAGTTTCAAAGGTGGGTTAAATTTACCTGAGTTTCAATGGTGGATTAGATTTACCTGAGTTTCAATGGTGGATTAGGTTTACCTGAGTTTCAATGGTGGATTAAATTTACCTGAGTTTCAATGGTGGATTAAATTTACCTGAGTTTCAATGGTGGATTCGGTTTACCCGAGTTTCAATGGTGGATTAGGTTTACCTGAGTTTCAATGGTGGATTATATTTACCTGAGTTTCAATGGTGGATTAGATTTACCTGAGTTTCAAATGGTGGATTAGATTTACCTGAGTTTCAATGGTGGGTTAGATTTACCTGAGTTTCAATGGTGGATTAGATTTACCTGAGTTTCAAATGGTGGATTAGATTTACCTGAGTTTCAATGGTGGGTTAGATTTACCTGAGTTTCAATGGTGGATTAGGTTTAACTGAGTTTCAAAGGTGGGTTAAATTTACCTGAGTTTCAATGGTGGATTAGATTTACCTGAGTTTCAATGGTGGATTAGGTTTACCTGAGTTTCAATAGTGGATTAAATTTACCTGAGTTTCAATGGTGGATTAGGTTTACCTGAGTTTCAATGGTGGATTCGGTTTACCTGAGTTTCAATGGTCTCCTTGCTGGTTCTCTCTTTGGCCAAAAGCGCCTGAAGTTCTTTAAGCATGAGGGCGTGGTCTGTTTGTTCTCTTTCTCTCTCAAGCTGATGGGTCCTGATACGACTTTTTAACTGCAGTCAAAAGATTTGACCCACAACTTAGAATAGTGTGTATGGCACAATGTTATGTTCAGTAGTGTAAACAAAAGCTAGAGAGACTTGTGGTTAGATAAGTCATCTCCCAACATTGCTACATTAACATTAACCCTTTGAGCCCTGGCCTCCCTGACCTAATTTCTCCCATTTCCTGAGCTCCCAGGCCCAAACCGATTTTCACTTATCTGCTTCTAACTTTGCCTATAACTTTTGAACCGTTTGAGATAATCAAGCCAAATTTGGTATCCTGACTCAGGATCAAACAACAATGCAGCAAGATTCTGAAATTCTTTTTTTTTTTTTACAATGTTTGAACAGAACAATGTATATAAAACGAACACATAATTATTGTTTTGATAGAACATAGAAGAAACCAATTTACATTTAGTGATTGTTTTGTTATTATTGATACCTGGCCATACTATTTCATCACCAGAAGTCCACTTTTGTGTGATAACTTTCAAAACAGTCATCACTGCCGGACCCGATGCAAAGAAAAAATTCGCATGTTTTGCACCAGTAAACTTTTTTTTTTCGTTTCGACTAGTCTTTGTCCTTGACACCACGTGCATCAGAACGTACTTGAAAAGTTTCATTGTCACTGTCAATTTCAATGTCACTGTGTTCAGTCTCAAATTCAACGTCACTATCATCACAATATAGACCAGAAATATTATCTTCTTCATCAGAATCAATAAGTAGTTGTATTGCCTGAAATGCAGTCATTCTACTTCTTTTGTTGTTATTTAGGTCTTTTGCTTCATCTTTTGCACCAACTTTATGTCAAGTCGACGGCTGTAGCTCAGCTTTTCGTTTCGGCGGCATTGCTACGAAATGTAAACACTTTCACTTTTCCTAAAAATCAATTTTTAAAATCATAATCCCGCACTCAAAAGACATATGCGCAGTTTTAGTCAGTCTTCCGCTAATTACATTTAATTAGACGGTACTCCGGCCGCTAGGAATATGACGCTAGATCATCGGGTCGGAAAACCGGCTTTTCGGACATATATGCCTAATGTTGAAGCCGGTATACCGGCCTGGCGGGCTCAAAGGGTTAAGGAATCATTTCAAGGTGTTTTTTTCAAATTGAGAAATAACTTTGTCATGTTTGAATACCAAAGGAGCTGAGATGACAAAGCTTACAGCTTGATGTTTGGATTTGATGTTAGACTAACAAAAAATTTGTAGACATTCTTTAAGATGGAGAAAATCTTACATCAGACAGCTGTAGCTCAAAGCCCTCTGCCTGTTTGGATGTTCTTTTTCTCTCATCTGCCAGCTGTGCTTGTAGAGACTCATGCTCATGCTGAAACCATTTTTTTAACTCAGTTACTTTAAAGTAACAACAGATTACAAGTTTGAACAATGACATGTGGATGTTAAATGCTAAATTTAGCTGGGTTTTTCCCACCCAATAGATTGGTTACTTTTTTTTTGTTAACGTGGGTAACCCTCCCACAAGTAACTTTTTCACATATGGAATAGGCTTGAAAAGTCTATAAAATCAGAGTAAAAAAAAAATTTTAATCTATAAAAAAAATATGGCAAATAAAGCGTTCTCTAAATTACTATTATATTACTTATAATTATTTGTTTGAATTTTTCTGGCCTTAGTAAAGCTGAAAGTCAATTTTGTTCTTATTTCATAAGTGTTATATAATATTCATTGCTGGTTGAAAAATATGCTTACTGATAAGATAACAAGCATTTGGAACCAGCTTTTTGAGCCTATTATAATTGAATGTAGAAGAAAATTTTCTAATCATAGCTTGATTTTATTTTTTTAACAGCAAAATACTGCCCTCTTAATGACATAAAATAACAAATGAATTATAGGTTGTGTTATCAAGACACAATCTCTAATGCTGAGTAACTGTTTTACCCTCAGGTGTTTTCTCTCTGCTATAAAATTTGCTTCAATCTTGTTCTTCTCCTGAGTCAGTGTAGTGAGGGATGAGCTCAGAGTCCTGATCTGTTCCCTTAGGGCAGCCACTTCATCTTTCACCTCCTGAAATACAAAGCTCAAATGTTCATCACTTCACCTCCTGAAATACAAAGTTCAAATGTTCATCTTTCACCTCCTGAAATACAAAGTTCAAATGTTCATCTTTCACCTCCTGAAATACAAAGCTCAAATGTTCATCTTTCACCTCCTGAAATACAAAGCTCAAATGTTCATCTTTCACCTCCTGAACTACAAAGTTCAAATGTTCATCTTTCACCTCCTGAAATACAAAGCTCAAATGTTCATCTTTCACCTCCTGAAATACAAAGCTCAAATCTTCATCTTTCACCTCCTGAAATACAAAGCTCAAATGTTCATCTTTCACCTCCTGAAATACAAAGCTCAAATCTTCATCTTTCACCTCAGAAATACAAAGCTCAAATCTTCATCTTTCACCTCCTGAAATACAAAGCTCAAATGTTCAATACTGTAAGGGCGTGTGGGCATTTTGTAGGCAATCAAGACAGAACAAAAGAACTTCAATTAGTGGTTTACAGTATTCTACATCAAGGAAAATTTAAGAAATGTTCAATACTGTAAGGGCATGTGTGGATTTTAGTAGGCATCAAGTCCGTGCAATACTCAGCCAATAGCAAGTTCAAATATTTTAAAAGGCGATCAAGGCAGAACAAAAAAACTTCAATTTGTGGTTTACAGTCAGCAACCTCAACGAAATTTTAAGAAACACCATACACTGCATTAGTGTAATTAATATATTTCAAAAATAATAAATCCATAGAAAAAATATAAACTTTGTTTATACAAAACTTTATATCCAGGAAATTGCACATTCTCATCCAGGTATCAATCTTTATATATCCCCCCACCACCACCCTCAATGTCACATTCTTACACAGTGATCATTACATGAAAGTCACATATTTGATCTACAGCTTACATGTACTTACAGTGGTTAGACTCTGCTTATGTACTGAGTTCATTCAAAACCAGTCACAAATACACAAACACATTCAACCCCTACCTCCCCCCTAAAGGGGGGGGGGGGGGAGGGGGAGGTAGGGGTTGCTTGTTGAATGTGTTTCAGTTCAGGCAAAAAATTAAAACTGAAACCCATCTCATTGAATTAACCTCTCCCACAACTTTACAACTTAACCAAACATACAAACCTTAGAGATGCCAAGTGGATCTGAACCCTCCCATCTCATTCAACTAACCTCTCCCACAACTTTACAACTTAACCAAACATACAAACCTTAGAGGTGCCAAGTGGATCTGAACCCTCCCATCTCATTCAACTAACCTCTCCCACAACTTTACAACTTAACCAAACATACAAACCTTAGAGATACCAAGTGGATCTGAACCCTCCCATCTCATTCAACTAACCTCTCCCACAACTTTACAACTTAACCAAACATACAAACCTTAGAGGTGCCAAGTGGATCTGAACCCTCCCATCTCATTCAACTAACCTCTCCCACAACTTTACAACTTAACCAAACATACAAACCTTAGAGATGCCAAGTGGATCTGAACCCTCCCATCTCATTCAACTAACCTCTCCCACAACTTTACAACTTAACCAAACATACAAACCTTAGAGGTGCCAAGTGGATCTGAACCCTCCCATCTCATTCAACTAACCTCTCCCACAACTTTACAACTTAACCAAACATACAAACCTTAGAGATGCCAAGTGGATCTGAACCCTCCCATCTCATTCAACTAACCTCTCCCACAACTTTACAACTTAACCAAACATACAAACCTTAGAGGTGCCAAGTGGATCTGAACCCTCCCATCTCATTCAACTAACCCCTCCCACAACTTTACAACTTAACCAAACATACAAACCTTAGAGGTGCCAAGTGGATCTGAACCCTCCCATCTCATTCAACTAACCTCTCTTAAAACTTTACAACTTAACCAAACATACAAACCTTAGAGATGCCGAGTGGATCTGAACCCTCCCATCTCATTCAACTAACCTCTCCCACAACTTTACAACTTAACCAAACATACAAACCTTAGAGATGCCAAGTGGATCTGAACCCTCCCATCTCATTCAACTAACCTCTCCCACAACTTTACAACTTAACCAAACATACAAACCTTAGAGATGCCAAGTGGATCTGAACCCTCCCATCTCATTCAACTAACCTCTCCCACAACTTTACAACTTAACCAAACATACAAACCTTAGAGATGCCAAGTGGATCTGAACCCTCCCATCTCATTCAACTAACCTCTCCCACTTTACAACTTAACCAAACATACAAACCTTAGAGATGCCAAGTGGATCTGAACCCTCCCATCTCATTCAACTAACCTCTCCCACAACTTTACAACTTAACCAAACATACAAACCTTAGAGATGCCAAGTGGATCTGAACCCTCCCATCTCATTCAACTAACCTCTCCCACAACTTTACAACTTAACCAAACATACAAACCTTAGAGATGCCAAGTGGATCTGAACCCTCCCATCTCATTCAACTAACCTCTCCCACAACTTTACAACTTAACCAAACATAAAAACCTTAGAGATGCCAAGTGGATCTGAACCCTCCCATCTCATTCAACTAACCTCCCCCACAACTTTACAACTTAACCAAACATACAAACCTTAGAGATGCCAAGTGGATTTGAACCCTCCCATCTCATTCAACTAACCCCTCCCACAACTTTACAACTTAACCAAACATACAAACCTTAGAGATGCCAAGTGGATCTGAACCCTCCCATCTCATTCAGCTAACCCCTCCCACAACTTTACAACTTAACCAAACATACAAACCTTAGAGATGCCAAGTGGATCTGAACCCTCCCATCTCATTCAACTAACCTCTCCCACAACTTTACAACTTAACCAAACATACAAACCTTAGAGATGCCAAGTGGATCTGAACCCTCCCATCTCATTCAACTAACCTCTCCCACAACTTTACAACTTAACCAAACATACAAACCTTAGAGATGCCAAGTGGATCTGAACCCTCCCATCTCATTCAACTAACCTCTCCCACAACTTTACAACTTAACCAAACATACAAACCTTAGAGATGCCAAGTGGATCTGAACCCTCCCATCTCATTCAACTAACCTCTCCCACAACTTTACAACTTAACCAAACATACAAACCTTAGAGATGCCAAGTGGATCTGAACCCTCCCATCTCATTGAACTAACCTCTCCCACAACTTTACAACTTAACCAAACATACAAACCTTAGAGATGCCAAGTGGATCTGAACCCTCCCATCTCATTCAACTAACCTCTCCCACAACTTTACAACTTAACCAAACATACAAACCTTAGAGATGCCAAGTGTATCTGAACCCTCCCATCTCATTCAACTAACCCCTCCCACAACTTTACAACTTAACCAAACATACAAACCTTAGAGGTGCCAAGTGGATCTGAACCCTCCCATCTCATTCAACTAACCTCTCCCACAACTTTACAACTTAACCAAACATACAAACCTTAGAGGTGCCAAGTGGATCTGAACCCCCCCATCTCATTCAACTAACCTCTCCCACAACTTTACAACTTAACCAAACATACAAACCTTAGAGATGCCAAGTGGATCTGAACCCTCCCATCTCATTCAACTAACCTCTCCCACAACTTAACCAAACATACAAACCTTAGAGATGCCAAGTGGATCTGAACCCTCCCATCTCATTCAACTAACCTCTCCCACAACTTTACAACTTAACCAAACATACAAACCTTAGAGATGCCAAGTGGATCTGAACCCTCCCATCTCATTCAACTAACCTCTCCCACAACTTTACAACTTAACCAAACATACAAACCTTAGAGATGCCAAGTGGATCTGAACCCTCCCATCTCATTCAACTAACCTCTCCCACAACTTTACAACTTAACCAAACATACAAACCTTAGAGGTGCCAAGTGGATCTGAACCCTCCCATCTCATTCAACTAACCTCTCCCACAACTTTACAACTTAACCAAACATACAAACCTTAGAGATGCCAAGTGGATCTGAACCCTCCCATCTCATTCAACTAACCTCTCCCACAACTTTACAACTTAACCAAACATACAAACCTTAGAGGTGCCAAGTGGATCTGAACCCTCCCATCTCATTCAACTAACCTCTCCCACAACTTTACAACTTAACCAAACATACAAACCTTAGAGGTGCCAAGTGGATCTGAACCCTCCCCCATCTCATTCAACTAACCTCTCCCACAACTTTACAACTTAACCAAACATAAAAACCTTAGAGGTGCCAAGTGGATCTGAACCCTCCCATCTCATTCAACTAACCCTTCCCACAACTTTACAACTTAACCAAACATAAAAACCTTAGAGGTGCCAAGTGGATCTGAACCCTCCCATCTCATTCAACTAACCTCTCCCACAACTTTACAACTTAACCAAACATACAAACCTTAGAGATGCCAAGTGGATCTGAACCCTCCCATCTCATTCAACTAACCTCTCCCACAACTTTACAACTTAACCAAACATACAGACCTTAGAGATGCCAAGTGGATCTGAACCCTCCCATCTCATTCAACTAACCCCTCCCACAACTTTACAACTTAACCAAACATACAAACCTTAGAGATGCCAAGTGGATCTGAACCCTCCCATCTCATTCAACTAACCTCTCCCACAACTTAACCAAACATACAAACCTTAGAGATGCCAAGTGGATCTGAACCCTCCCATCTCATTCAACTAACCTCTCCCACAACTTTACAACTTAACCAAACATACAAACCTTAGAGATGCCAAGTGGATCTGAACCCTCCCATCTCATTCAACTAACCTCTCCCACAACTTTACAACTTAACCAAACATACAAACCTTAGAGGTGCCAAGTGGATCTGAACCCTCCCATCTCATTCAACTAACCTCTCCCACAACTTTACAACTTAACCAAACATACAAACCTTAGAGATGCCAAGTGGATCTGAACCCTCCCATCTCATTCAACTAACCTCTCCCACAACTTTACAACTTAACCAAACATACAAACCTTAGAGATGCCAAGTGGATCTG